CAATTAGAATAGATAAAGTGGTTTAGTGATGTTGTATGGAAATCAAAAATAAATACTACGTTGTTTATATTTTGGTACTTTTTTGACAAATAATTTCACATTCAGCGCAAACATTTCCTGGTGGTAAGCATTATCATGCTCTAAATTCTATTAATGTATCAGTGCCGGAGTAAGATTGGAGAAGTATCTTATACTCAACAACCTAGTGATCATCCTGCATGCTGAGCTGATCTCCAAATTCATTGTGAACTACTCCAATGTGCTTTTGCAGGGTACTTCAGTCGTTAGACAATGTTCAGAACCATAGAAGTAACTGTCAATCTCTTACTTCTCTTGTATCATCGTGAGTAACCAATTCTACGGCATTCGAAAGATAACAGTGACATTTGAAAGGAAAATAGTCACATTATATATATGGAAACTATACTTTATTAATTGTTCTTACTACCTTGATTTTATTGAAGTTCATGTTTTAAAGTATGTTTTGTTAACATTAACCTTCCACCGAAGGAAAATTAAATATCTCTTTGAACAATTAATTCCAATTTGCCATTAATTTTCCTAGCAACATTAGGTGGTATCGTGTTATGCTTTCAATTTACACACCACATCAAACGTGCCATTTAATTTAATGTGTTGCTAAAATATTGCAACAAGATATGGGTACTGGTAATTAAGATTCGATCACGATATAGAATTTGTTACTATTATAAATTCTCTCATTAATTATAAAAATTAATTCCGTTGTTAGTTTAAATATAATGCATTTTCTGAGACAAAACTTTGAAATTGCGTTTAATTTACTCAAGTTTGACAGTTTTTACATGAATGTTTTTGTTATCATATTGTGTCCTTGTTTACTATATCTGTCCTGTCATTACATTTCCTATAGTCTGCAAAACACCAAACTTACAACGGATTAATTTATTTATTCATTGAATAATTAACAGACCTTTTGTCTATTTAATGTCTGTTAATAGCTGTATATTTGAATCGAAATACATAAAATACTATGAAAGTGTTATTTCTTTTATCTACTCTACATCACAAAACAAGACGTTTCTTTAAAAAAGATACTCTGCCGAAATATGGTTAACTTGCGTATAAAGAAATGTTAGTATATATTGACCGACAATGCCGTAATAAGTTTTTGTAGGGTACTTATCTTGAAAAAGATTTAGGTGTTTCTAAACAAACCTGTCGTTGTTCGGTAAGTGAACATAATTTCTAACACCAATACCGATATTTGTATACACAGTCGGTAAGGCAATTATTTTTTATAAATACTTGATTAATATGCAAAAATATATAAAACTTATAAATAATATATCAAATGAACACATCAATAATCATATAATATATAAGACACTTATCATAAACGAAGAGTACCTGATAAGTTCTGATATATTTTCGTTATTTTGGTCAAAATTTAAAACTCAGATCTTGTTTAGAATAAATTCAGTAAGTTGCTACGTAAAATAAACTGTTCACTAGAAAATGCAATGAGGTCTGAAGTATTAGTAAATACTAATAAGTAATAAGTAATGAGGTCTGAAGTATTATTGAACAGAACTTAACTGAGTAATTTAACTAGAAAATTTAATAACTGTCCTGAACATTTTATTTTAGAACTGTCTTTTACATTTTATTCTAGAATGGCCAATGAGAGAACCAGGTTTCATTTTGTAATTTTGAAATGACCAATAGAAACACGTCTTTATTTTTAGTTCTAGTTTATTTAGTTCTTCCCGGTAAATTTTACAGGAAGTTTAACTGAAAACTGATTGGCCCTCGTCCGGAAAATACCATTCCGATAAATCTTTCACAAATGCCATTTAAACATTACCAAATTATGAATTGCTTTGCTCATCGTGAATGTCTTGAGAAGAAACAAAAATACAATGAATCAAAAACATTCACTAACGCGTCACATTAAAGGTTTCATGATTACAGCCATAAAAATGCATCTATGAATGTTTATAATTCAAAACGATTTACCACTAGTTTATTAACTATCAAATTATGCTTAAAACAGTGCTAGGAAGCGATTTTCCTCCACCGGCTAGAAACATGCTCTGTGCAACAATTTTAATAATGACCATTTAGGCGTTCATAGGAATTCCGTTATTCTCTGCATTTCACTTACTGTTTTGTATATTTCTATTTATTCTAAGATCGTCATAGCAAGACTTTATCAGAAACTATTAAATTACAGATTTAATTTCCTAACCAATGAGGAAACAATAAGATCTTCTGATCTTAAGCTTTACGTATTCTATCCATTACGTCGGGATATATCTGGTTATCACGTTAGTTTGCAATGTCTGCTAATAATATGCACCACACTGTGTAACAAGTTTGTCCTCAAACATAGAACGAGTTACATAATTCCATTTACTTACATATTGTATGTCAGATAATATGTCTTGAAAATGTAAGGGGAGTAAAAGGCGGATCAGAGGTTATGCATCCTGCATATCACAGAAAAAACACCAAAAAAGACATTAAAAAACAACTGGAAAAAAACAACAAACAAACAACACTCTACCCCTTCCCCCCCCCCCCCCCCAAAAAAAAAAATGATTTAAAAAAAATAAAATAAAATCACACATAAAAGGGAATATATCTACAAAACCTAGCGTTTAGGAAAGTTTGAGTAGAGTATATGAAGATATAAGATTTTGTAATATGAACCAAGGCCAACAAGGAAAGGCGTCGTTCATAGAAAGCATGTGGGGGTGTATAATAACTAGGCAAAATGCGTTGTAGTTTCCAGGTTTGACCTTTACTGATCAACACTCATATATGATATATAGTATAAACAACAATACAATGTTAAGTCGGAAGTGACGTTAACGTAAGCGCGGAACGTCACGTTATATAAGGCGCTATAAATGACGTTATCAATATATTGAATACAGTCTCTTATTCATGTATCACCTTTCCTTTGAAAATTTAGATTAATACATTTCGAGGGGGTAAAGTTTTACAATTGCGCGATTTGTGAGTCCATTTTGAGTTCGAATTTTAGCACTTCGAATAAGTCCATCTTTTCCTGGCACGAGTTCTTCAACCACAGCAAGTTTCCATAATAAGCGGGGAACATCGTCGTGGACTAATACAACGTCTCCAACGGATATCGTCTGGTCATTTTTGCCAGTAGTCTGATGACGTTCTCGTAAAGCTGTCAGGTATTCGTGACGCCATCTATCCCGGAAGTGGTTAATTAACTTCGTTTGTATCGTAGCTTGTTTGATAACTGACGTTCGGTCACTTGGCGTGGGGAATGTACATGAAAGGACATCTTCATAAGGGAGTTTGGTTATTCGTCTGCCATAAAGTAAGTGTGATGGTGTAAGTACTTCCGGTTCATCTGAATTACCAGAACAAACATATGTCAACGGCCTATCGTTAATCATTGCCTCGATTTCTGTGATTACAGTCTGTAACGTTTCGTAGGTTACATAAGAACGTCCTAGCACTTTCTTTATTGTTGTTTTCGTCAGACCTATGAGACGTTCCCACATTCCACCAAACCAAGGGGCGCGTTTAGGTATCATCTTCCACTCAATTCCCCTGTTGTTGAGTTCTTCTCTAACTGTGAGTGAGTGAAACAAATCTCTTAGTTGTTTTGAGGCTGATATGAAGGTGTATGCGTTGTCTGACATCATGACGTAAGGGACAGATTTTCTGCTACATAAACGTCGGAAAGCTTGTAGGAATGATTCTGTTGATAGGTTTGAAACAAGTTCTAGGTGAACTGCTTTCGTAGTAGCACATGTAAACAAGCATAAGTAAGCTTTTATGTCTCTTTTGTTACAATCCCGAACCAGTAATGCTCCAGAGAAGTCTACTCCTGTATAAGTAAAGGGTTTGACGTCAGAAACTCTACACTTTGGTAATGGAGGTGGGTCAGGTGCTGAATAGGGTTTCCCAATAACCTTCACACAACATGTACATTTACGTAAAATGTTTTTAACAGTTTGACGAATCGAGGGAATCCAGTACTTCTGTCTTAAAAACGTAATAGTTGAACTAACGCCGGCATGCAATAATCTGGAATGTGCGTCGTTGACAACTAACTTTGTTAAAGGATGCTTAGCTGGTAGTAGGTACGGGAATTTGGTCAGCTCGTCTAATGGAGCATTGTGGATACGACCACGACACTTTAATATGCCATTGTCTAAGAATAACTGAAGTTGTCTACATAATGGAAGTTTGTTTCTTTTTGATTTTGTATCTTCTATTTCTGCTTGATATTTGGACATCTGGCAACTCCGTATGCACATCTCCTCAGCTCTGCGTAGTTCGTCTGTAGTTAACAAGTCTAACCTTCCAGTATGACTCCCGCCTCGACACTTGAATATAAAACGCAGGACATAAGCTGTAACCCTGAGCAGCTTTCTTAAGGAACTGAATCTTGACATGTCTATGAAACTGATATTGCTTAATGGTAAAATTGTATCTTTTGGCTTGGTTGCTGGGTCAATAAACGTTGTCATGGTAACGTAAATATCTTTTTCTTGCCAAACTGGCCAACTGTCAGGTGTGGTAAGCCATGTAGGTCCATGAAACCATAGATTACTGTTCTTGAAGTGAGTCACAGAGATACCCCTCGTAAGTAAATCGGCAGGGTTTACTTTCGTCGGACAATAATTCCATTTCCGGTTTTCGGACAGCACGTGGATTTCAATCACTCTGTTCCTTACAAATCGCGGAAGGGTTTTAGGCGTCTGAAGCCAAGAAAGCACAATCTGGCTATCTGACCAAAGGTATATCTGTGTTATGCTGGTGTTTTGCTGCAGGTGTTTACTGAGTCGGGATCCAATTACTGCCGCCATTAGCTCTAACCTAGGTAATGTTAACTTCTTCAATGGAGCAACCCGAGTTTTAGCCATTACAAGAGTAGATTGGTTGTCTCTACAGATGTAAGCCGTAGCACCATACGATACCAAGCTAGGCGTCGCAGAATATGTGAATGCACGTGTTTCTTGATGCGTTCATGTATTTTCGAAGTAGTATCTAGGAAACGTAGTTTTTGTCACGGAATTCAAATCTGTTATTAAACTACGCCATTTTTCTTGAATACTGTCAGGTAATGGCATATCCCATTCAAACTTCTGTTGCCATAACTCCTGTAGAAGTAATTTAGCTCTGATGGTAACTTGATTAAGTAAACCTAAGGGATCATAGATTCGAGATGTATGCTGCAATATTTCTCTCTTTGTTACAATCTGGGTATTTGGTATGTTTCTGACCGGATACAGTAAAACGTCACTATTTGTGTCCCATTTCATTCCAAGTATCTTAGGAGTTTGTGCATTATCTATTACTGAATCGTTGATTGCTTGTTTTTGAAGCATTTTACTATTTGAACTCCAGGACCTAAGGTTAAAACCTGCAGACGACATTAGCTCACGAGACTCGGTGTAGAAGTGAAGAAGTTGTTCTTCCTGTTGGAAACTTGATATCACGTTATCAACGTCTAGATCTTGACGTAGGTATTTGCTAGCTTTCTTGTCGTTGTTAAGTTCAAGGTGCTTAAGTATAGTTGCGCAGAGAATAAAAGGGGACGACGTAGCCCCAAAAAGGACTGCTCGGAATCTATATGTTGTCAATTCGCTGTTGGGGTTACTAGGATCACTGAGCCATAGAAATCGCGTCACATCTCGGTCGTTCTCATCTAGAGTGATGTTGAGGAAAGCTTTCTCAATATCGGTTGCTATGGCGTATTTATTCATTCGAAAACGAATAAGAATTCCAATTAAATCATTCAGTTCAGGTGGTGTCGACATCAAGCAATCGTTCAGACTAGGCTGGTCACGTGACTTACAACTGCAGTCATACACGATGCGGATAGGTGTCGTGTTCGAGTCCTTCTTTACATAATGATGTGGTATCAAATGTACAGGGTTTGATGTGGTAACATTTGTATCACATTTTTCAATAAAACCGCGTTTTAACTGATCTTCTATGATTTGTCCATAGTTTTTTAGTATATCCGTTTCTATTGAAAGTCGTTTAATTGTGTTTTCTGTACGCTTTTTGCAAATTTCATAATTTGTAGGAAGTACGGAATGATCTTCTTTCCAGGGCAGTTTTGCAACATAACGTCCATCTTTGTACGTGATACAGTTTTCTTTATACTCGTTAAGTATACCGGAAGTAGATTTCTCTGTATCATCTTCTAATATCCCCATAGATTCTAACTTCCAGAATCTCTCAAGATCTGTGGCATTAGGTGGCGCTGTTACAACATTAAACATATAGCTAACAGACGACGCATTTTTAACTTCCGGAAGAGGTCCTGACAGTAAATAACCGAGCTTTGATTTCACTGCCGTAGGTCCGTTGCCCCGAACAACCTTATTCTGCACGATTTGCCAAAAATAGTCGGCTCCAATCAAGAGTGATATCTCGAAATCGTCGTCAATGTCGGTAATACGATGTGCAAGTTTAAGACCTTCAATATATTTCAGACATTTCACATTTCTCTGCAAGTTAGGTAATGGTACAGCAATGGTTGGTACAATAAGTACGTCAAGTGGTATGATCTCTCTATGTTGGACGTGTAGAAACACTCTGCCTGTGGGTATATGACGATACTGTTCTGATTTGCCACCAAAATATGCTAATGATATAGTGTCCGAACCGTTGGGCTTTAATTTCAGTTTCTCAGCAAGCTTTTCCGTAATAAATGACCTTTGAGCACCTTCGTCAAATAATATGTTTGTATTAGTTATGGTATAGTCTTGGGAGCTTACTTGAGCGATAGCAGTCTTGAGTAGAATGTTCGATCTTTGATGCGTAGTTGAATGAAGAAGACAGTTCCTGCATTTCCTGTTTGACCGGAAGTAGAGCTTATAAATGATGTTGCATGTGGATTCAAATCGAAATTCGATGGTTGGTCACAAATACTAGAATGGTGCCTTCGCTGGCATTTTCTTTGCACCGAAACTTAGAACGACACTCTGAAACTTGGTGTTTTTCCCAGGCAATTATAACACATACGTTTAGCTTTAATGATAGTTAGTTTTTCTTCACGTGTTTTAACTTTTTTTTTACAATCAAGCGACTTTGTGGTCACCTTCACAGAACAAACATAATTTCTTACCCTTATCATTATCTCTTGTGTGCGAAAATTTCTTAGATGGGTATTTTTTCTTTCCGGTTCCGGTGAATAATGAAGCCGTCGGCAAGTGTGATTCTCTTATTTCGTCAGTTATGCCCATTTCTAGAATGTTTATTTCTCTGGCGATAGAAGTTCTCAAATCTTGTATGTTCCATCGTACATTTCGTGTTCTCGAGCTAAATTTCGTCGTACTTCGGAGGGAAGTTTTTTCATGATTATGGGTATCAATAAATCACCATAGGAACCCTGACTCTCACCTAAAGATTCTAAACCCCGGATGTAGTTTTCCATTTTGTCGTGAAACCTGCGTAGACTCGTTACACTGTTGTCTGGAATCGGCAAATCTAAAAGCGACTGCATGTAACTATCTATTATTTTATGAGACTGTCCGAATCGTTCTTGTAACAAATCTATTGCATTCTGGTAATTTCCGTTAGTTAATGGAAAACCTGCTATGGCGGTATATGCAGTGTCTTGTAGTAAAGAACGTAAATAGTTGAACTTTTGGACATCAGATAGTGTTTGGTTCAAATGTACAGCAGCCTCATACGAGTCCCAGAATGACTGCCATTTTTCAACATCTCCATCAAACGTAGGCAAAGTCAGTTTAGGTAGTCTGTGAAAAGATGAGTTATCAGACGACACTCTGTGGCTATGATTAGAAAAGTTCTCATTTGATAAAGTTCTAGCACTACCGTTAATGTCCTGTGAATTACCGATCACGCTGCTGCTGCCAGTGTTATTAGATTTGGTAATATCTTCCTTCAGTTTTCGTAGTTTCAATCGTAAATCAATTGAATATTCGTCACTCTCTACCAATTCTGTTTCCAAATCGTCAATATCTGCATGATTAACAATCTTATCGTTGAGATTCTTGATAATCTCGGCTTTTTCTTTCCATGATTTCGAGCAGGGGCTGACTTCTCCGAAAGTGACAACTCGTCGTAAATTTCCCAGTTGTCTAGAAATAAGACGTCGCTTGGCCCTCTCTAGTAGAAATAAGCTTCTGTAAATTCATTGTGATTGTAGAATTTCTCACGGCACCAACAATATGGGGGTGTATAATAACTAGGCAAAATGCGTTGTAGTTTCCAGGTTCGACCTTTACTGATCAACACTCATATATAGTATAAACAACAATACAATGTTAAGTCGGAAGTGACGTTAACGTAAGCGCGGAACGTCACGTTATATAAGGCGCTATAAATGACGTTATCAATTCCCGACATAGCAAACCCCATAAAATCAATCTTTAAGACCTCGGTATGCGATTTTTTTATCAATGATTTTCTATCATCGATGTCAACTTTAACGACAGATAAATCAACATATTTATTCGCAAACAAGGAACTATTTTGAAAGTATGCAATCAACTAACGTCCAATTATTGAAGTGATCTGTGTTATTCAGAAAATAAATTGATAATACTAGACATATAAATTGTTCTCTGTCACTTAACAAAATATTTTCTGTGCCTTTGATTTTACAAATGTAATCGATTACGGTGCATATTTCTGGATAGTTTTCGTCTGAAATAAAACAAATTTAATTACTTTTTAGTTGAAATTTACTTAATGTTAAGATTTGCAAAATTCATTATAAAAAGATGTTTTATTGTGGGAATGGATCAAAACAATAATATAAAATAATATCACCGTACTTACGGAATAACAGGATGACGTGAAAGACATAATGCTCATATTTGCTAAGAGTACGAAGGACGTTTGAGTGAACCCCTACCTGTGGCTGACCTGTAGTAAAATACTTGTTTTATAAGGGACGAAAAGATTATATTTCTTGATGAGAAGATATTTAATTGTTTTACGTCAGTTGTCCCTCTTAGCAGACCAGATGTAAACGATTAGTAAAAAGACTCGATTCGTAACTTTATTCATCCAATTAAATGTCTTCACAAGAATTTACATTTTACTGCTGTAACCAACTATTTTATTGCAAGTGCGTCTATCAAGTTCCTTGCATCCGCAATTAATTGACTGAAATGTACTTTTAACGATTCCAATATTGTTTTGCACTTTATTGATCACAACGAAGAGAGGGATGGAAGCAATGTGCCTCGTGATTTGCATGTGCATCGGTTACGTAATATTCAAAGAAGTTTTGTATTGCTTTTTGGGAAACAAATTTGGCTCAGGCTTCAGTGGAACAACTAAAAATAACATATGTTGCTTGTTTGAAACAGATTAGAATTAATACCACATTTTCTGCACTTAATGTCTCCACTTAATCTTGGTTAAAGACAAGGAAATCAGAAATACCATTAATAGACGTATTTCCTCTAAGATAAATAAGTTAACACTGATTTTATAGAATTGTAAAGAATTATCATTTGACTTAAAACAAAAATGGCAAGATTTCTTTTCAATTTCAATAAATTGCATTTTTAGAATCTATATTGTGTTTATGTGGAATATAAAAACGTGTCAGTAATGTGCATTTCCATAAGGTGTTCAAACACACTTTTATATTTCACACAGACGTCATATGTCAGTTCCCATAATCAGTGTCTTATCCCATTACGTTATATACACGCCTTTTAACGCCTTTTTCACCCCCCCCCCCTTTTGTTGTCTCAAGTGGTGAAAAATGCCTTATTTAGGCCCCAAACACTTGTTTTTGTTTGAGAAATGTTGTTAAAAAAAGTGACCTCTTTTTCGGCGTGGCCCCCCAACCAAAGATACATCAGGGGGTTGCCAGAAGGGGGATGTCCCCCCTTCTGTTTGGGGGTTTTGAAGGGGGCGGAGTCTCCCTCATCGCCAAGAAAATTTTGGACTTGTGAGAGGCTATAAATGACCCCAAATTGATCATAAGGTAACGTGTAACCAACGCTGAAAAGCATTTGACTCTATCTCAATCCATTGAGAAGTTGCAGCACTTTGAAATCAATTTTGATGGAAAAAAATCAACGCAAAATAGTGAGTTTTGGCAATTTTGAGATGTCCCCTCGCTGCCATGGTGACAGAAAATTTAAGCCTGAGCATGTTGTTGCAAGGGCAATGGTCCAGTCAACATTTGTGCCAAGTTTGATTAGTGTTGAAGCAGTTTTTATAGTATTATAGCAATTTGAACTTGTAACGGGAGACTTTTCAATGAAAACAGCGGCTGCCATTTTTCACAAAATGCTCATGAAGTAATGGGTTAAATAACGGTCATCACAAGAATCTGCGTGTTACATAATATGCTAGTTTAAATGTCGATTTAGCGAGGGTAAATAATTAAAACTAATCCTGTCCAAAATCCTTAAGACAGTCTTTTTCATAATTTCAGTTTTATTGATAAAACATGTGTCATGATTTGTAAACAAAATGAACAGTATTGTATTAATGTTAACATTTAATTGGCTTCCACAGTTGTCAAATGTAAGATTTTTATGGTAAATGTATAGTAAAATGTTACCGTTTAAATTTGTAACATCACGTTAAACCTTGGGGAAACTTATAGATCTCAAAATCATAAAGCGCGTGTATATACATGTATGTCATTCATAAAAAACCCATTAAATTGGTGCGTCGAAAATTGCATTAGTAAAATATAATATGATGTTATTGATAAATAATCCTAATATAACACATGACTAATACCAAAAAGCATGTGCTATTATCTGATAATTCAAAAATGATTTATTATCTACAAAAAGTCGATGAAAAATAATTTAGAGTAACAATGCACTTTTATAATTGTATTAGGTAGTTGATGACTTAAATTAAAGAAAATGTTTACATTAAAAAACAAAACAATTGATATAAATTGTAATGTAATGAAAAAGAAAAGTGATACTATTATATAACTGTTTTAAGATGGAAGATGGTAAATCTGCTTTTCAGAAGACATTGATTAACTCAATGTTGAAGATCTGATTTTCTTGGAATATATTATTAAATACCATGTCTACATTGTCGTCAAAGAATGACGAAATTAATTTCAAATATTTTAATCAAAGTAAAGCCTATCTAAAATATAGGTATGCCCGCTTTTCTTGTTCCTCCGAGAAAAAATTCAGTTCAATAGTAAAATGATTTAAATACCTACACAGTTCTTATTATGTTAAGGCAGAATATATAGAGGATATTGAATGAGTGTAGGTTTAATACTAAATTTATTGAAACGAGTTTTTGAATTAAAAA